TGGCGAGGCATGGCTCACATAAGCGTATTCTTCTTGTGCGGAGCAAACTCAAAAAGTTTGAATGGTCTACGTAGCTCTAGTCCACACCTCCAAACTCATTTTCTTAACAAGACTCCAGGTATGCTAACACCTGACTCCAATTAGCTTTTTTGAAGTCAACTCAACGGTTCACATAAAAAAGCTAATTGGAGTCAGGTGTTAGCATACTTTTTCCACTAGCACTATGAGGTTTTTATGGTTGTTCTCAATAAAGACATGAAGGATCAGAATTGTTTTTGTGTTATTATTTTAGGCACATATTTGTCCATACTCTTGACTTAGATGACGGTCAGATCACATTTTATGACAAATTAATGCAGAACACCATGAAATTATGTGAACCGTTGAGTTGACTTCAAAAAAGCTAATTGGAGTCAGGTGTTAGCATACTTTTTCCACTAGCACTATGAGGTTTTTATGGTTGTTCTCAATAAAGACATGAAGGATCAGAATTGTTTTTGTGTTATTATTTTAGGCACATATTTGTCCATACTCTTGACTTAGATGACGGTCAGATCACATTTTATGACAAATTAATGCAGAACACCATGAAATTCCAAAAGGTTCACAACTGTATATGTTGGGAGATTTATTTTTTTTACATTCCTAATACACATCAGAATTTTTCTATTTTTAGACATATTGAACTGCCAGGATGTTCAACAGATGCAGTAATGCCAGTGACTATGTTTTGTTTAAATTTGAATTGCCTCTTGGCTTTGGCTTCCATTTAACATTCCTAGAAATACACTAACAAAATATGCAGTGGATAAACAAAATACAATCTAATTTGCCCTCTATCATCACAAATTGTAACCCATGTATCTCATGTCTACATGGGGAGGAACAGATTTTAGTTCAGTCCTGACAAGACTGAATGGCTATGGCAGTTTGGGTCTCCGATGTCAGTGAAATTTTCTTAGATGGGGTTGCGCTTCCCCATTGAGACTGGTGCACAACTTGAATGTCCTTTGACTCATAACTACTGCTTAATGAGCAGGTGGCAGCTGTGGCCAGGAGGGCCTTTGTACAGGTTTGTCTTGTGCGGTAGTTTGCCCATTACTTGACCAGGAGTTGCTTCAGACAGTTATGCCCTAGTCACCTCACAACTGGTCTATTGCAATGCCTCTATTGGGGCTGCCCTTGAAGACCATCCGGAAGTTATAGCTGGTCTAAAATGTAGTAGTGCAAGCAGTAACAGGCACTTCATGTTATGCCCATGTGTTATTGCTGCTGCGTGAGCTGCATTGGCTGCCATTTGGCTTCCAGGAGCAATTCAAGATACTGGTCATCACCTATAAAGCCCTTCATGGCATAGGGTTATCTGGTTATCTACGGGATCACCTATCCCCAATCATTTCTGTCCACCTGAAGTGGGTGTGCTCCAGATCACCTCAATTAAATGTTGCCATCTTGTGGGACTGAGAAAGCATACCTTCTCTGTCATAGCCCCCGTCCTCTGGAATAGCATCCCCCCAGAGATATGTAAGGCACCTCCTCTCTTAGAGTTCTGGAAGCTCTTAGGACCTGGCTCTGTTCCCAGGCTTGGGGTTAGCAGAGCCCCTATTGTGGTTTTGATTGCTTTTTTCCCCCTCTGGGCTGTTATGCTCTGTTATGCTTTTAATTGTTTTTGAATGTTGTAAGCTGCCCAGAGTCTTCTGGAGTCAGGCTGCTATAATAAATCTAATAAATAATGATAATGATCCCTGAGAGAGAAGATCTAAATGGTGCCTTCCCCCAGTTGTGTTAAAAAAAAGACTAAATTAATTACTTCTATCCACAGCAAATTAAGTTGCTTTAACTTGTCTCACAATTGTGCCTTCTATGAGAAAAGTCAGTGAACATTAATTTTTCCATTTACTAAATCTTCTTTTGTTTTTGTAGTTCATGATCTATGCTGGCTATTTTGCTGCCATATCAGTATTGTTCCTGATAAGTGGCATGTACAGTATTATCAAGAATTTCTGGAGAAAGGAAAGAAGAAGAAATGACACTGTTACAGATAGTGTTTATAATGCATGAACTAATTTGATATCTGGTGGGGAAATCTATTTTTAAATATGATGGTTCATATTTATTCAACTGTTGTTACTTTAAAACTGTTACCTGAATTGTATTTGATTATATTTGTACTATATTAGTAGCATATGTTAGAAACAGAATACATCTGTCTTATATAAGTAAGAATGCTGTATTTAGCAAAACAGCTTCAATATGGCTTTCAAGGACAAAGTCTACATGGGGACAAATCTTCCTGTTTTTTCTTTAGCCAGACAAACCATAAAACTAATTGCTCATTACTTGACCAGGAGTCCTGCAGTGTTGGAATTGGCTCATGGAGTAATTAATTCTCCCCACCCCCTTCATCTTGATTGTTTTAGTCTTTTTATGTATATAGTCTTTTTATATAGTTTGATTTTTTAGCTAATTTCATGTGGATATTTATATTTTTAACTGTTTTGAGGTTTGATTTTAATTGTGAGACACCCAGAGTCACCCTCTGGGGGAGATTTAATAAATAGACAGAAATTTAATAAATAAAATTGGAAAGTGATGGTTTTTTTAAAGTGTAGCCTAGTCTGTGCTTTCACTGCTCTTAGTATGTTGGCTTTTAGGAGCCTAGAACTGTGAGGCACTGCGATAGAATTGCAGTCAGCAGCATCCTTTGAAACTAATTGCAGGATACTGCACAGGTTTGGTAGATGCACATTCATGAATAACAACTAGACCTTTCTGTATATGTACTCAAAACATTTTTCACACTATAGTGTGATTTTGGTATATTTAAAACATTTTAGTTCTCTTTTGCTGCCCCTATTGATTGTGTCTAAATAGATTTGATTTGCTGACTTCATGAAATGTCAGTGGTATATCTTAATTCACAGATGTTATGAGGCAATGGATAGCAGAAGCAGTAAACCTCCCATGGTTCAAATATGGGTTGTCACTTGGATAATTCTATTGGTCATATTAGGCTTTTCAGCTTCTCCAAAGAAACACTTAAATTCCTGTATTTATAATGTTGATACAGACTTTCACAATGTCTTAGAAAAAGAAATGGCAGCTATATCATTCTGCATTATCTGTTCAAATAATAGAAATGGCCTTGATTGCTGTTTCTGCCAATAATGATTGCATTTTTGAATTGTGGAACAAGTGGATGTGACAGCACTGGGTAGGAGATCATTATTTTGATTGTTTTCTGTGACTTAATAAATCCATAATCTGTATTTATTAAGATCTTCTGGGAACATTTGGGGTGATTCCTTGAGCCTTCTGGGACTTCCTGAGTAGACTGTAGATATTTCATAACTAGTAGGAAAAGTGCTGAAGAACTCAGACAGTTCTAATTATCCTTTTAACTTAAGGGAAGAAAGATTTTTAAAGCACTATTTCATTTATATATTTTTTTTTATTTTGGGGGGGAAAAGAAAGAGGGCTGCTGAGATACTTGTTTTCTATTCCTTTCCTGTCCAGTTACTTTGTCTATATTCATTTCCTATGAATGAATAGCAAATCATAACATTGAATAAACCCATAAATAGCAGGATTAGCTTCAGGGTGCTGTTGTTAAAAATACTAGCCCTGGCCATGTGATGAGAAAGCTACATGTTCTGTGTGAAAAGTTACATCTTATTCAGCAGTGTGTACTTACCAATTAAAACTAATAGTGCCTTTTATATAAATATAGCAGAATTCAGGTAGTCCTTGGTTAATGACATCTTGTTCAGCAACCATTTGAAGTTACAACGATGCTGAATGAGTAGTGTTTATGACTGGTCCTCAAAGTTCTGACCATCCCAGCACCCCCGCAGTCACGTGATTGTGATCCAGGCGCTTGGCAACTGGCTTGCACTTAACAATGGTTGCAGCGTCCCATTTGCAACCTTCTCTGCTGGCTTCCCACAAGCAAAGTCAATAGGAAAGCTGGCAGTGAAGGTTGCAAGTCCCTCTTGTAAGTTGCCTGCCCTCCTGTGGCTTTTTCTTCTGAGGAGCCTGCACACCATCTTTCACCCCGCAGCAGCCACCCATGGCCCCACTGCACTCATGCTGTGCCACTTACCTGCCTGCCAGCCTGCTTGCAAGCTGCCTGAGACTTGCGACTTCCTGCTGGCTTCCCACAAGCAAAGTCAATAGGAAAGCTGGCAGTGAAGGTTGCAAGTCCCTCTTGTAAGTTGCCTGCCCTCCTGTGGCTTTTTCTTCTGAGGAGCCTGCACACCATCTTTCACCCCGCAGCAGCCACCCATGGCCCCACTGCACTCATGCTGTGCCACTTACCTGCCTGCCAGCCTGCTTGCAAGCTGCCTGAGACTTGCGACTTCCTGCTGGCTTCCCACAAGCAAAGTCAATAGGAAAGCTGGCAGTGAAGGGTGCAAGGTCCTCTTGTAAGTTTCCTGCCCTCCTGTGGCTTTTTCTTCTGAGGAGCCTGCACACCATCTTTCACCCCGCAGCAGCCACCCATGGCCCCACTGCACTCATGCTGTGCCACTTACCTGCCTGCCAGCCTGCTTGCA